GTGGCTCCTCTGAGGGCACATTGGCATACACGAGATCTCCTTATCTAAATTCAGAAACCTGTAAAACTCCACCGAGGCTTCTTCCTAGCAAAGACAGTACAAAATAAAGGCATTCAGAAAGAAATGTTAACAAATCTAAGACTGATTAACCTCGTTAAATTTGCAATTGTCCTGTAACTCATTATTCCAAGGTAGGAAGAAGGCAAGCAGCATGCTGCACGCTTGTTCTTTATTTTAGGTATGCACATTGTTCCTTCAACCAAGCTATCCTTTTAAAGATTATTTTTGATGCATTATGCAAGAGATATAAAGTAAATTTTGGATGTATTTTTGACATTATACTTTTCTAAACGGTTAACACCACATGTGATAAACAATGAAGTTCAGAAGTGCCAGAGAAAAAAAATGAAAAACCTGTAACTAGAGCAGGAGAAAAAGAAGAAAAGCCTAATGAGACTAAGAGTACTGAGCAGAATAAATACAGGCAATATAGGAGCAGAATCTCTAAGTGACTATATGAACCATCTTACTCTTCTTCTCCCTTTTAAATCAATGAGTATCTCTCAAATTATCTGAAGTATTACCGCAGGGCAAAAAAAAAGGGTGCTGAAAATTTCCAGTCTTTATGGGATGGAATGAGCTTATCCATGGAGACTTGAAAATAAAAGGAATCTTCTTCAAGTTATACCAAGTTTTAGGTAAGGTAGTACCAGAGGAATTTTTACACAGCTTTTTATTATAGAAAAAGCCTAGAATCTGACATTTCACAAGAGATTTCACAGCTGTGACTGAGGCATAAAGTACCTCCAAAAGCAATAGGTAAGCAACTGGAAAAAAAGCCATGGGACCTCCAATTTTAAAGGGAGAAAGCACATTTTGGTTAAGTAATTAAGGAGCAATACCAGTGACCAAGTTAAATACAACCAGCATTGCACCACACCCCTGTGCCAGCAGCCCCCTGTGAGAACAGCCTTCACCACACCTCCTTACCTGTCACGGGCACCCGACACTGAAGACAAATTCTCTCATTTCCTGGAGCTTGGCATCCTCTTCCACATCCTTGCTCTTTCCCCCCCCCCCCATCTTCTTAAAAAATGTTGCACCTTATTTTCTCCCACCAGAAAGATTTTGGGGCCCATTTTATTTCACAAAATAATGGAAAAAGGGAAGTCGAAATGGACATAGTTTGAACAGTCAAAATGTGACAGTTAATTTTCTTAATGGACTTGTCTGTTTTACAGGATAACAAAACATTTTCCCCAACAACACTAAGGTTTTAAGTTGCACCCTCTCCCTTTTTTTTTTTAAGTTAGAAGAAAAAGTTTGATGACATTCATGAGTAGACAAAAAAATCTCAGCTAAATTACAGCTTGAGGAAAACATAAAAAAAGCAGAACATCTTTGAACTGACCTCGTTTTTCCAGTATATAAAGTAATACTTTGCTCATGACACTTTTAACCTACCAATTCATGTCTTATGTAGTTTTAATTAAAATACCCCTTTATTCTGCATTATGACTTTGTCATTTCTTAAAAAATTATTTTGACAAATTCAAAACAGCTTTAAAAAACATACTAAATCTAACTGAAAGTAAATTGAAGGACAAGTCTTCCTGCTCTCTGTATGTTATTAGAGTAAGGGGAGTGAATTCTCTGCTCACATAACTGCTTTTTTAGATACTCTGAGAAAATTAGCCTTATGCTTTCCTCAACAGTGAAAGATAAAACAGTTTAAGAATGGTGAATGAAGACAAGCTATTGTCTCCTTTAAAATTCACAATACCAATTTAATGACAGGGAGGCCCTTAAACTGTTATTGGAGCTTGAAGTGCCCACCCTAGCTCATGTATTTTTGGGGGGGCTGACAAGTACTAAGCTACTTTAGAGTACACCCTGCATTCAAAATTTAAGAGTTATGTTACTGGAACCTTAAGTAAACTAGAGAACACCATGCTCCTAGGTTAATATAACATACCATCGACATCCAGTTAGTACTAGTAGTAATATTAAAAATTGTGTTTGATCTTCAACATGTACATGATCTGATTGTAAAACTCATTAAACATAACACAAAACCACTTTTGTAGTCAGTAGAACTGAGGAGATGAATTGTCCACAAGCTGAAGGCTGCAATATTGCTTATTGCAACTCAAATGGCTTTAGAAAGCAGGACCTGTAAATGGCAATTTTAAAGTATTTTAAACAAAGAGCGGACAGTTTTGTCCCAAAATTTATCTAACTGCTTTCATACTGTGAGGTTGTATTTTGACAATTTATGTAACAAAGTGGTCTAAACAGCGGTAGTCTTTTTTTTTTTCCTCCTTCAAAAAAACATGCTTTAGACTTGAGCATATGAATAACCAAGCTTCTCAGACCTTGCTCCAAATAAAATATAGTTACAGCACAGAATTACAGTTCTTACAAATACCACAAACACTTCTGTCAAGATTTATTCCTGCAGGAATGGCGAATTTGCTGGGTGCGTCAGCAGCTCATCTCTCTAACACCTAACGCCACCACTGTGAGGAAATCCAGGATCTCGGCCAGGGAGTCCTAGGAAGATGGATGAAGCCTCTCTTGCTGTACCCATGGACCTGGATATTACAAACAGTTTTGAAAGGTAAATTTTAAGCATGCAAGATCAGAACAGGTTCCTTCCCAAACGTCTCTTTGGTTCATAGCAGCTCAGTCCCAGCCGAGTCTGGAAGCTTCCTCTGTGAGCCATCTCCCTGCAGGAAGCCACAGTCAGGCTGTTTCAATTGTTCTTTGAAGTACCAAGGACTAACAACTGAAAAAAATAGTGAAGAACATCACAGGACCTCCTCTTCTTCAAGTCTTTCAGCCAACAATGGAGCCAAATTCCAGTATTAATTATAGACTAGATGACTTTACTCCTTCACTGTGCTTCGACTACCAGTAGCTGTTACTGCTGAGAAAAGCAAGCCCTGGATCCCTGCATGTCATTCAGCTCTACAGTAACTCAGAACTGACCACCCCCAAAACTCCTATGGCACTGTGCAACTCTGGGAATACCCTCATTTTGAATACTACATTCTATTTTGACTTCTTTCTCTTGTAAAAAAAAAATACAACTTCGACCTGCTGAGAGCATAAACAGTAAAAACAACAGCTACTTTAAACAGCTCAGTCTGTTACATATCTGTTAATATTTCAAGAAATGAAAAAACAACCAACCAACCAAACATAAAGAAATTGTATATGCAGCAAAGACTTGAACTCAAGTCCTAATTTCATCCTCTCTGTTTTCTCAAAAGAGCACAGTATTTTTAGCCACTAGGGTGAAATAAGACAGAGAACTAGAGATGTTTAAGCTGGCATTTCCTGATCAGAATGTCTGAGATCGAGTGCTTTATTTTTTAATAAATATTTTGTTTTCACAGGTACTGTTTTAATGCATTTCCATTTATTAATGATGTCATTAACAAACTTTTTAACTTGACCAGAATATCTCAGAAGTTATGGGTTGATAAAAAATATGCTATTAAACCCATAACACAGGAAGGGAAGTATTACTCTAGATAAATTAAATAAACCTGTACAATTGAACCATTATGAAATATTGATTATTTTCAATAATGTGCATAGACAGTTATTGAAGAAGCATAACAATCATCAGAATTCTTTTTAGAAAACATTCCTTCAAATTAAGTTTTCATGGATTTAACACACATTGCCAAAATGCACAAATCATTTTGAAAATGAGACGTGGGTTGGGCAAAAACCCAACAGTTTAAACATATACCGCATGATGCCACTTAAGTATTTTTAGATGCATGGCTTAACAAGATAGAAACCTTATTTTTTTGCAATATGAATTTATTTTCTATGCAAATGTTTTTGACTTAAAACCTTTTATTACATGAAAGGTTGCATAAATAAATTCTGTTAAATACAGAAAAAAAATTGAGACATTTTTCTTAGAAAAATGTGACAAGACTTAGGCAAAAGTGATCTATTTCCTTAGGAATGGTTTTATTTTCTGTTATAAAACAGCTCAAATATATTTCTTATGCTTTATAGAAGATGAAATATGATTTACACATGAAATGTGTAAGTTCTCATATGTCCAGCAATTGTGTTAATTTCACAAATTAAAAAAGAAAAATGTAGTTATATAGCTTCAACAACTGCATAATGTTCAACTATCACCTCTCTCTCCTACCGACCATGCCCACACTATTTCCTATTTCACCCCAGAAGACTTTCCATATTTTTCTTAGCTATTTACTGTTGAGAATTAGAGCCTTAATCAGATGATTTTGATTAATTTCTCATGCAGTCAAGGTAGACAGAGCTAGTTGGTCCACATGACTTCAGACAGAACAATTTTATACTATAGACTGCCGCAGCAACTGAGTGTTGCTTTTTTATTTTAAACTTTGTTTCCAATGAGCTTGAGCATTTCAGGCCCTGTAGTTCAAAACGTCTAAAAAGACTTGAAACAACTCTTATTTTGCTTATTTTTTATATACTAGGAAAGATGTTCCTTAAACAACTCCTTTGTAGTGCTAGAGTTGAAGTCTATGACTTTAAAATCAAATTCATAGTTAAAAAAATAAAAACCAAACTAATCATTTTCCCCCCTAAGATCCCAAGTGTAACTCACTCAGGATGTCACAATATTAAAAAACATTGTGAAAAGTAACAGAACAAGTTGACACACTTTCACATGTGACATTTAAAACAGCAACACTGGGGTTTCAATTTAAAAAATCTTAACTTAAAAAAATCAACTGAAGTATTTACTGATTTTTTTTCATATTTGTATATTTGGAAGAATACACACATATAGAATGCCTGTTTGAAAATTTTTGTAAAGTTTCCTCTTGTAACATTCACACTGTAATCTGAAATTTGTTGTTTATCACCCCGGCCTCAGCATCTGGCTTTGAATTAACAAGCGAAATTAAAAAACAATGGTTTTTTTGGACTGTAAAGTTACAATTACAAATACTTAAAACTAAGTGACAAAACACCCATTTTGCTGATATCTTAATGGTTTTATTCACAAAATAAAGAGCTTTGTCTTTCCCAAGAAGAACTTAACAGAAAGACTTAATGATACAATTATAAAAAAGTGGTACAGAAAATTTGAAAAAGTCTGGTAAAATTTACAAATGCAAACTATCACTTTGTACAAAATCTTTTTTTAAAGAAAGTTCAGTAAGATTTTAAAATGCAGTCTTAACAGCTCAGAAACGTACATTTATGTCAAACTGTGGTTGGTCTTCATTTTCGCCTGTCTGGGGAATTCTCCCTTTGTCTGTCCTCGTTCCTTCTAGATTCCCTCTCCTCGTTCCTCCTGGACTCCCTCTCCTCGTTCCTCCTGGACTCCCTCTCCTCGTTCCTCCTGGACTCCCTCTCCTCGTTCCTCCTGGATTCCCTCTCCTCGTTCCTCCTGGATTCCCTCTCCTCGTTCCTCCTGGATTCCCTCTCCTCGTTCCTCCTGGATTCCCTCTCCTCGTTCCTCCTGGATTCCCTCTCCTCGTTCCTCCTGGACTCCCTCTCCTCGTTCCTCCTGGACTCCCTCTCCTCGTTCCTCCTGGATTCCCTCTCCTCGTTCCTCCTGGATTCCCTCTCCTCGTTCCTCCTGGATTCCCTCTCCTCGTCCCTCCTGGATTCCCTCTCCTCGTCCCTCCTGGACTCCCTCACCTCATTCCGCCTGGATTCCCTCTCCTCGTTCCTCCGGGGCTCCCTCTCCTCGTCTCTTCTGGACTCCCTGTCCTCGCCCCTCCTGGGCTCCCTCTCCTCGCCCCTCCTGGGCTCCCTCTCCTCATTCCTCCTGGGCTCCCTCTCCTCATTCCTCCTGGGCTCCCTCTCCTCATTCCTCCTGCATTCCCTCTCCTCGTCCCTCCTGGACTCCCTCTCCTCGTTCCGCCTGGACTCCCTCTCCTCGTTCCGCCTGGATTCCCTCTCCTCGTTCCTCCTGGATTCCCTCTCCTCATCCCTCCTGGACTCCCTCACCTCATCCCGCCTGGATTCCCTCTCCTCGTTTCTCCTGGGCTCCTTCTCCATGTCTCTTCTGGGCTCCCTGTCCTCGTTCCTCCTGGGCTCCCTCTCCTCGTTCCTCCTGGATTCCCTCTCCTCGTTCCTCCTGAGCTCCCTCTCCTCGTTCCTCCTGAGCTCCCTCTCCTCGTTCCTCCTGAGCTCCCTCTCCTCGTCTCTCCTGGATTCCCTCTCCTCGTTCCTCCTGGGCTCCCACTCCTCGTTCCTCCTGAGCTCCCACTCCTCGTTCCTCCTGAGCTCCCTCTCCTTGTTCACCCTGGATTCCCTCTCCTCGTCCCTCCTGGGCTCCCTCTCCTCGTTCCGCCTGGATTCCCTCTCCTCGTTCCTCCTGGGCTCCCGCTCCTCATTCCTTCTGGATTCCCTGTCCTCGTTCTCCCTGGGTTCCCTGTACTGGTCAGAATAGCGGCTGTACTTCTCCCGGTGTTTCTCCGAACCATTTCTGTACCGGTCCTCTTGTTCCTCCTCTCTTGGACTCGAATCCTCACGGTCTCTCTCTCTGGATTTCGATCTTTCTCTTTTTCTACTGCGATGTCCATTATCTTTGCTCCAGTGTCTGTAATTTTCATCATCAGACAAAGAAGCTCTTCTGTCTGCTTTCTTAACTTTTGAATTACTGTGTTTATTTTCCAGATCCTTAGTTCTGTCATGGTTCCTATCTTTTCCACTATGGTAACCATCTCTGCCATTGGACTCATCTCTGTGATGATATTTTGACACATCATCTCTGTGTGATTCTCTTAAATGTCGGTGATTTCTTTCTGATTTGCTCTCAGTATCACTTCTTTCCTCTTGATGCCTCCTTCCCATTTTCTTTTCAACGGATTTCCTTTTCCTTTCTTGCTTTTTCCTGGAAACTTTATTGGATTCTCTATTTTTCTTCTGCATTCTCCTTCTTCTAGTTTTAGAAACATCTGAAATTATAACAAATTATGGGACTAAGATTGCATTTTAATTTAATATGTTTAACTTATTAAACTACAAATAAAATTGTAGAGAGCTATTTTTTTTGTCAAAAAAATTGTGTGTGCATTGTATAAGGACAAAAGTTCCAAAATAATGAACTCTTGATTTTTATCCCTTAGCTCTCTGCAAGTGATGCCTGTCTTTTGAAAACCTCCACCTGTCATCATCCTCTTGTTGACTTGATACGAAACGACCATGCATAGGCTGTAAAGTTATACATCAAAGCACTCTCAAAAATAATCTTTTTTTTTGGGGGGGGGGGGGGGGGAAGATGACCTTTCCCAGACTATCCAGTCCCAAAATCATTTACTTTTCCTGGAAAAGCTTCTCAGTCAATGGAGATTAAAAACAGCAGATGGGGAAAAATCTCCAACACTATCCTATGCAGAAATAGAGGGATGATGAAATGGCTTGAGATAACGGTACTGCAGCAATATAACAATGGCCCTCGGGCTCAGTTTTTCAGAAGTAGTGACAGCTTTGTCAACAAGATTAACTTCTGTATTTCTAAATATACAGCAATGCTCATCTCAGTGGAAGAGGCCTTACCTTTCCTGTTTGCTCTTTATTAGGGATCTCCAGATTCCACTTGACAGTATTTATCACTAACTGCCATTTAGAATAACCATTAATTCACCTTATTGTATGAACTATAGTATCACATCAGCTTTTGAAAATATCACAGCCATAAACTGACTACTACGTATAACATCTGAGTTCTACAGCAGTTTTCTAATCTCATGTCTGAACTAATGCTTTCTGACATTCTGACAAATGCAATGATGGATCAATTCAGATACATTATAATGCATTAAGTTTTTTAAACAGTGTTTTCCATACTATTTTACATCCACCAGAATGCAGAAAACCACCCAAGAAAGTAAACAGAAAAGAACCAGCTGCTTTGATAACAGATAAATTTCATCCTCTGCTGGACCTGTTTTGGTTAGAAGTACCTCCTCAGAGCAGTGCCGAGCTGAGCTAGCTGATGAAGTCCCAAACATTAACTGGCAGTAAGACAGTAACCTGCAATTTAGCTGTATACTCAATTTCTCAGTTTCTAATTAGCAGGTTTTCTATTTTTCTCTTATACACTGCACTGTTAAAACACTGAAATACTGCAGCACATTGCTCTGAAAAATGCCTTTTAACTCTTCCAAGTTATTTTACAGATTTAAAAAGCTGCAAACACAGGAAGACTTGGAGTTATAACCAGTAATGGGCCTCAACTAAGTTTACCATTAGAGTACAGTTATTTCCAATTAGTGTTTTGATCACTGTATTACAGTACACAAGAACCTGAAAAAGACAAGTGAAACCAGGTTGCAAAGGTATCAAGATTCAAATTTTAATGAATATGTTCCTGAATGGAAAAAAGGCAAGTAGGAGAAGCCATGGTCCTAAACTTTGACAAATAAGTGCTCACACTGGCAGACTGCAGACTCAGTTGGTTTGTCACTAAGGACTTCCCCCTCTGGTTCCTATCAAGCAGCTCAGCAGAGCCATCTGGCTCTGTGCTGAACCAGTGCCTCCTCTGACCCTGTTTGACTGTGCCTCCTCTAGTGCTGTCGTCATTAATGCGATTAGTGTGATGACACACAACCCAGACTCCTGTGCACTAAGACTGTGATGGAGAACTATAGTGCATTTCCAAAGCATGAGCAGTTCATACCATTTTTATTTTATAAATCAACACTTCCACTTCAAAGGCACATAATAAATCAAATTAACTTCGAATCGGCAAACCTCTGTACTGCAGGAAGTCATGCTGTGCTATCATCTGCTCATGTGTATATACTGGGGGAGACTGCACACACTAACTCATACTAGCATGTACTTTAAAGACTAAGCAGTGTTTATGACAATTCATGTCAGATAAAGGTTCTACATCACCAGGATGGTATAAGATGCTAAACGCTAATTATAATGCATAAAAATACTAAGTTGTCGGCAAAAGCTAATTCTTCCTTGGAGATTTCTTTACAGACAAAAACCTTCACAGTATCACCACACAAACTCTTCCTGAAGAAGAGGAATTAGAAATGGAGCCTCAGATGAAGAATAATATTTAAATACACTGGTAGAACTGAAGAAAGTAATTTTTGACTCACAAAGAAGCACATATTTACTGGGAAGGACACGAGTAGTATCAAGCTCACTCAGTCAAGCCAAGCAAAACAGAGTTGTGGACATGAGTCTCTACAGTTCACCAGTAAACATCCCACAGAGATATTAATAGGGAATGACTCTAATTCCTCCATTCTCCAATAAACTGAGATCATAGTAGTATGCAACAGGTATCAACTGTGTAAAAAAAGTAATCTACAAAACAATGTTTCTCAGACATTTAAGTCTCTAAAAATAGAACTCTCAATTTTTCTAAATTCCAAAATAAATTTCCATGAACAATATTTAATATTTTAAAACTAAGTTAAAAACGAATTGATTAGATTTTAAAGCAGAGAAATTAACACTGTTTATAGCCAGATTTTCCTCAAAACAAGCATATATAGAAACAGAAATAAACAGATGTAAATAAACAGAAGTAAAAGAGAAATAAATAGTTATACAGCTAGTGCTTAAGTACCTGAGTCACTGCTGCTGTCACTGCTAGATGAAGAGTCACTGCTGCTGGATGACTCTGAGCTAGTACTGCTGCTGTCAGAATCAGAATCTGAGGAAGAGTCTGTCTCTGAAGATGAAGAGGAATCCGATGACTCAACATTTTGCTTCTGTGTCATAATTAACTTCGGTGCATTTTTAAGATGCTCCCGTAATTCATCCCTAATTAGCAAAAAAAAAAATATTGTTTTTCAATTTTATTTTTTTGTTTGTAGGGGGAGGGAAGATGAAGAAAGTGAATATTAAATCAGAAGTGTTCCTCACGTTAGTCCTCCAAGGCCAATAGAAGTGAAGAAATTGATGGCAAAGCGAGTGTTTCTTGGGTTATCCCGAGGCAATAATCCCTCAAAGAACGGCTGCAGTGTCCTGATGGAAACAAACATCTAAATTAAACACCATGCCAGCTCAGCACTCTCACTGACATCAAGAAACTGAAAAAAGAAACTGTATGGATCTCCACAGGAGAGCAAGGTTTCTCTTCATGTATTTTTCAACACTTTCATTGTTTGCATCTATGATGGATCTAATCAAATGCTATTTAAAAATTTGCTCTTTTATGAAAAGCAAACTTCTTCACACACAGAATTGCTACATACTGACAGATCATGTGAAGCCCTCAAGTGACCTGTGAAATTGCAGTAGCCTGTGACAGCAAAGGATAACGTGCACTGACCGAGAAGGTCAAAGATGTATGTACCCATTATACAGGGCCTTAAGTATAGTTTCAAGTTTAAGTTTACAAGAGCTAAATCATCTACCAAATTCTTCATCATACATAGAAGAAATGCCAACTTAGAAGAAACAGCTCAAGCAATTGAAAGTAACATTGCCAGAATGCAATGCATTAAATCTCATACAGAGTTAAAAGAACGTGTTACTTAACTACACTTAAGCAACTGATCCTAGAAAACCTGTTACTAATAATTGTGTGCTTTTTTTCTAATTTTTGTCAGAAAGAGAAGCCATAGTGTCATTTAATATGCAGCTATATAGCTGACAGTATATACAAATAAATTCACACATGGAAAATTCTTACACAAAGATGAATATCATTATGGGGGGTGAGAGGGGAAGAGATATCTTGCAAACAGTCATGCACATACTAGAACCCAAAATGATGGTAATACACTCAGCTTAATATGACTCTTTGCAATGACTAAATCTATACATGAACTTACTTGAAGTACTGCAGCTACAGAACTTATTTGAACCTGAACAGAGTTTTTATCTGTACTTTTTCAGATAAAGGAGCTCATTAAATTTACAGTTTTGAAAATAAAATTTCTACTTACTCATCTTTTAATCTTGCATTTAAATTAGGAAGTCCCATATATTCACTGAGTTCCTGAAAGAATATTTTGACAAAAATTCTACTGGAGGATGTGGTAGTTTCTTCACTCAGTATTATACATTCAAGGACCTGAAAACGTTCAGAAAAATATAAACCCTTAAGTTTAAACATACATTCTTTAATTTATCTTGAAAATTTTGTTAGAAATAACAAGTAAAGACTGATTTTTATTTCTTTTTTTTTCAAAAGACCATGAATTCTATGATTCCTAGTCAAGACTGTCTTTCTCAAAAATTCTTTTCTACCACCTAGGAGTGGCTTCTGATTATATTTATGCTAGTAATTCTTTAAGGATTTCTTTAATCTACAAAAGCTCCATAAGAGAAAATCAGGTGTGTGAACTTCTGGGAAGTTAGAGATTTGGGACTTAAGTACTAAAGAGGTAAAATATTTGGACTGACTTATGTGTGCCTGAAGAACGACAATTAGACTAGGTTATGAAACAAGAATAAAATGATTTGAAAAGAGAAGTCACCCTATATTTATTTCTTCATTTTTTTAATGTTATTATATCTCAGATATAATATATTATTATATCTCAGATGTTATTATATATCTCAGAATGCAAGATTGCTTTTATTTATATGGTACTTAAATCATAATATGGCAATATTTTTAAAAGTCTTATAATTCTACACAACTTTTAATTTAATATATTACAAGTTCAAAATTCTTTTCTAAAAGATGTACATTTTAATCAACCAATTCCAGCTGAGTTCCATAAAGTAACAGCTTAAATCAACTACTGAAAAATGGGGAGGAAGAATTATGATGCAGAAGAGGCAAAAAGAGGAGATGGAACCAACCAGAACTGTTCAACAGTGTCTGAGAAGATACTTAACATAATCCAGTTTGCTACAAGGACAAGTAGTTCCAAATTGCAGAACAAATACTAGAACTAATACATTATATATTATTGTGGAGTACTGGAGATTAACTCTTGAAAAAGAAATCTATGACAATAGCTCTTTGTTTTTAACTTACACTCCAGGGAATTGAATCAGTGTATAGTAGATGAGCAAACATCTTGGCAACATTTCTCAGTTTGTTCGTTTCCAAACGATGAATGGTATCATATTGTTCTTTGAAAATAGCTTCAAAGGATTCCATGTATTCTTTTTTTAACATGCAGAAACGCTGAGACAAAATTGTACAATTTAAACAACCAGATTAAACAAAATACTAAATACGCAAATAATCTACATGTAAGTGACCTAATGGTGTGAATATTTACTGCAAAATTTCCTTTTTAAATAACCCTTGGAGGAAGAGAAAACACATTCAAATGGATATATTTTATTGCTTTGAGCAGTTGTCAGAACAAGAAACTCATCTGAATTGCAAAGTAGTAATTATAAATTTTGAACTACAGCAAATTATCCAGCAATTTGTTTTACTTCTATATATCCAGTATTTTCAACAGATATAACCCCACTTTTTTCATGACATTACTGAATGACTATTTCAATTTAGAGAAGCAGCAGGAAACACAGAGGTTAAGACATTTTGGATCTATACATTCCAAAGAATACGGAAATAAAAAATTATATTAATCTGAACATGCAGATTTGTATTGTTAGTGCTTTGTAACTGATTGTCAGCAGATGGATTTCCTCAAGTACTGGATCACAAATACAGATGAGAAAAAACACTCTCTTTCAGCATAACTTGCCCCCTTTAGAATACAAGTATTTAATCTTAACTCTTCAGATCTGTCAATATTATTGATAAGAAAAACCTAAGTAAGAAATCACTGCAACTAAATCAGCAGTTAGTTACACAAAAACAGAGAGTTAGCTGTTAAATGAAAAGCAAACAAAACACTCACAGGCTCTGGACAGTAAGTATTCAATCTTGCGCTCTAAATTAGTCCTACTAAGCAGTTCTGAAAGAAGTGGTAAATGACAAGTCTCCAAAATTAATATTTGGCACTGTAAAAAGGCTATTTTCTGGTAACTCATAATACTTTTGTTTTTCTAGTACCATTTCTTTGCCACTGATTTATTGTTTTACCATAATGAGGAAAAAAAGGAAGGCAAAATAAGCAACATTATAAAGGGAAAATGAGTTCTCTCAATCTGCATTCACTATGCTTATTAAAATCAAAACGTTAATTGAATCCACTAACACAATTAACTAACGTAAGCATTTTCAGAATGATAAAAAGGTTATTAGTTTTATTTATCCATTAAAACTTAAGTTTGACACACAACAAGTAGAGTAAACCAATGAAATTTTCTATCATAAAGTGTAAAATTTTAAAACAGAACTCACCCCAGCCAGTAACCCAAAGAATTTCTCATATGTTCTTTGCTGAGCACAGCAGTCAAGTATCATATTGCAGAGTTCTTTCTGGGTTATGGAAAAAAAAAATATTTATTTAGGTAAATTCACTGTAGCAGCAAAAAACCCATCACTAAGTACCAAATAATTGAAGAAAACCTTACACAAGTACAAGCTTTGAAACGAGCATTTACATAAAACTTCATTGGTGACACCAGTAGTTTTGTGAGTTCCTCTGGGATGTGAATATGAACTTTTGCCCTTCAAATTTCCTCTAACACACTGTGTATCTAATAAAAAAAAAGTCAGAACTCATTTACAAACTGACTTTACCACAGTGAAAAAAGGAGATACAAGATAAAAGGTAAGGTTTTGAGGGCTTTTTTGGTGGTTTTGTTTTTGTTTGTGTGTTGCTTGGTTTTTTTGGGTTTGTTTTTGGGGTTTTTGGTTCGTTTTAAATAGCACCGATTCCTGCATTTATGGAAAATGAAAACTCTTCACACCTTTCAAATGTCAAAATGGCTTACAGACAAGCCATTTGAAAACGCCATGTGCATGGTTAGCAGTGTTATTTCCAAAATCAGAAGTATCTGTAGTTTTTGGTATATACTAATACCTTTAACTACTCAACCATCGTCTTCCTGACAAGCTTCTGCAAGCAAAAGGCTGCATGACAGTGCAATTGCTTCAGTCCTGAGGGTGATGTTCAGAAAGACTAAACTCAACCCCGGGAAGTGAACACGCCTAGACTTACTCTATAACAAAGAGAACAAGAGGAACTTTTCTAAAGCAGCTGTTTTAGGCTCATATTCAGAATCACCCTTTAGAAAAGCATCTCTCCTTGCCTAGGAAGAAGCAGAGGAAGCCTAGCTAGATTAGTCTCCCAAAACTTTTGTGCATCCCCCATTATCGACAGCCTGCCTTTCATTTTCCCGTCTCCATGGTGAACACAGATGTAAGCAACAGAAGATGCTCTCCTTCCCTTACACCAGCTACCTGGAACAGTTAGTCCAGTCTTTCTGGAACACAGACTGACTGTCTCCCTTTCTCCTTGTCTCCCAATACTATCACCCCAAGATCAGTATCGGATCAACCTCTGGCAGCTTCCTCCTCCTCTTCTTTCACAGGCCCCAAACCAAGAATCAGAGGGAAACACACAGATGGATTCTGCTCTGTACCCTCCCCTCTAGGACCAGCACCCTCCACTGGTTGAGAGCAGGGAGCCAGGCAAGTAAGCCTACGTGAGTTTAAAACCAAACTTATTCCCCTACTATGTAAGTTACAGATTGTAATACAGCTAGGAATTGGTTTAGGGCACATTTGGAAACATTAAGAAAAGTGAAAATATATAAATTAACAGCCATGAAATACACAATGCTTGAACTGCATTGCAGTTTTTCCCCATTCCCTTTTTTTTCTATTACTATTTTCTCATTAAGACCAATTCCATAGCATAATCCAATTTATGACACTTCCAAATATGTTTCTGGCTGTCAGTCATGTATCTTTCATTATTAATTTAATTTATCTTTACACTAATATTAACGTTCCCATAGAAAAGGATGATTTCAAGTGTTTTGTTCTCACACCAATTTACTATAGCATATACTAGATTTCATATTCTCCCACCTGTGCCACTCTTCCAAGCATATATTCAGAAGAAACATTTTTGCCCATCATAAAAACTCGAAACAAATAAAAGGCCAACCATGCTGAACAAGAAAAAAAAAATTACTCCCCCAAATAAAAAGGCAGTAATGTACCAAATAAACTTACAGATGTGTTTGAAGGCATTCCTTTTAACACTGTCACACTCTGTTAGTGTGATGTATTAAAATGCATATCAATTTTTTATATTATCCCATTTTATAGGATTGCTGCAGTTAATCAGTTTTTAAACAATAAAAAGGGTAAAGTGCTGATGTCACTGTTAATAACATCAGGAAGACTTGAAAAACAAATTACTTTTCTTCCTCATCTTAAATGCAATTATAACATTGGTATCCCCTGTGGTTTACAGTAATTAAATATTTTAACATTTTAATTAAATATTACAAAGATTTCTAGGAGGGTATCTTGAATAATCACATGCATGAAAATAGATTTGCCCATAAAGACATCCTTGCTAGTGTTATCTAAACAACTCAAGGCTAAGTTTAGGGTAACTGTCTTCCAGATTTAAAATTAACAAACTTTACAATTATTTAATTATTTTTTTGAGAGATGTGACAAGTTCAGATGGCAATTCCATCTTAATTTCCAGCTTCAAAGGCTAGTTAACTCATTTCTGTACTCCCAATGATGTTTATGGCAGGAAGAGCCTGTGTTATTTAGCCCATCAGTTGTTTTGAAGAACAGAATGAATTTGTTCCCCAGTTTTACAGGCAATTCATATATTGTGTTGTTCAACGATTTTCATTCAATGCTCAGCAAGTGATTCCTCAGCTTAGTTAAGAAAGTATGTATAGCTATCCAGTCATGAAATAAACCACTTCAAAAATACCTGTCATCTCATACAGATGGTGAATGATCTTTTGTGAAGATCTTGAATTTATCACTGTATCATGAATAACAACAACACTTCCCAAAACTGCTAAGAGAGAAGATAAAGAGAAAAGCTCCCTCTAAATGCACTACACTTATCACACTTCTCCCTAAACATTTCCAACTAGCTCTTACCCAAACAGAGCAATGGTTTAGATGAACCTTGGTTCCACCTAACATGGCAACTATCATCAAACATTTGAAGATGCTAAAGGGTAAGCCAGGAAAAGACAAAAACACCGGACTTGTTTTTTTTCCCCAGTTTTACCATTTTAAAAACAAGCACACCCTGCCCAGTCGATATGCTCTCAGCTTCACCCAAAGGCTATGTTCACTGCAGACAGAGAGCCAGAGTAACTCAGCTTTCTCACTCCCTTCTGATCATGGGTTACTTTTTACAGTTAGTACTTCCCCCCGTCATCTCCCCTCCATCTTTCTCCCCTCATTTTTTACAATTTCTTTAAGATTTGCATTCAGCTAAGATTGGAATTTTGGAGCTGCCCCACAGGCTGAGGAGACCTCCTTCATGAGTAGTCTCTACTCCCCCCCCAGCCAGCAGGGATGCCATCTGCAGCTCCCCTCCCTTGCCAGCCCCACGGCTCTGTTCCATCCATTGCATACACAAACTGAAACCACCACGAGACATCCCCACCCAGTAAGCTAACACAGCTTCTTAAAATAGAAAACTATCAATGCAAACCCTTGGTTTCTAGGAGTTTCTTCATAAAACTAAAGGAATTAATTTGCTGGGAGCAAACCTAGTGAAGGACATAGGTTCATTTAAATCAACGTCAAACTGGAATTATGTGAAATGAGTGCCTTGCATTTTATATACGTGCACTGTTTTTACAGACTCTAAATTTTTCCTTTTTTCTCTTTCATTTCACTGAAGTGTATTTAACTTCCTCTGACTACCCTAAAGCTTTGCTTACTGCTGCATATTTTAATATGTGTAACAACCACACAGGCCTATTTTTTCCAGCATCTCTGCTCTTTTTCTTCCTTATTTGTCAAATTACCACAGGGTGCCAAGGCTGGCAAAGCTACAGAAGGTGTTCCAGTAGCAGGTGGCCTCTCCGCATACTACATGCAGTGCTTTTGGCAGCTACTACACTGTCTCCAGGTCTGTCCCATGGTCAGCTAACAGTCTTCCTCAACTTTTGTCCCTTTATTTACCATTTTTTACCCCAACTTGTTCTATGTTTAGAGCAACATATGCTTAAAGCTGAATATGGTAATCAAAAATCTTGCATAAATCAGACTTAACATTTTACACAGGAATCATTAACTGGATATAAGCATAGATATATACTTTTCATTCATGCTGCTACAAGTCTGCAACACACAAACGAGTCTGGTGAAATAATACATAAAAGCCCCACAGTATTTCTTTCTTTCCACCAGAAGGCTACACAAGCAAAACTTCATTTTAAGTGATTTCACTAAGGTAATCTGAGTAATTTCATCCCCTTAGGTTAAATACATGCATACATACATGCTTCGAAGATCAAAGTCTAGTCAGAATTCTAGCTAATGCCTGCTATCAGTAACACACAAATACAAGCTTATTCTATACGGATTCTATATCTTGATTTTCTCTAACATCAACATATACCACAATATGGTTTGTACATGCTTTTTTCTTAATTGATAAATTATGAAAATTCAGATTGATTCTACATCTCAGGCACATGAAAAGTCCTGCTTCAGAAGACAGGAAATCTACCTGAGGATGAGCACCTTTTACAGGCAGTAGCAACTCTGTGAACTAATCATGGTGCAGATGCCAAACCTACCAGTTGCAATACCCTCCAAATTAGAAAGGAAAGCAATGAAGCTAAGAAATCATTAATTTGACCTGAACAGAATTATCAGCTTTAGACCATCCCAGTCTACACCAGTTTCCTGAACAACATTTTCACTGAATGTCAAGGTAGAATACTTCTGTCATCTTCAAGACTCAAAGCATAAATAACACAAGAGACACTGACACTCCCACCCCTCCAACTAGGGTTGCTTTGAGCAAGTGACACCATCCTGTAAAAATGAAGATGTGTCAGATGCACACATAATTCTTTCAAAAAGGCTGTGCCTACAATAATTTTTCTCATTTCAAGTAAAAAAAAAAATCCCATGACCCATTACTTTTGTCTGGGATACCAGATTGAGGGGCAGATACAGAAGAGGCTCTAACTTGAGCGAAGTTTCAAGCACTGCTGTATACAAATTTAGTTCTTATCACAAGTAAAAAAATGAAGAAAAGCCTAAAAGCCAAACTCTTTTAGACATGCTTTCAAAGAGCAAGAACAATGTATGGTTGGTTTAATTTTTTGGTTGTCCCCACCACCCTTGAGGGAGACTGGGCAACAAGTCATGACATTTCCATCTTCAAAAAAAGGAAAGAAAAAAAGAAAAAAATCCCCTATATTCCTAATGTATGTTTTCTTAAAGAAGGATCAATTCTACATCTAAGCAGTTGTCACTCTGACATATTCTTTTATTACTATGAGGAAACTCAACTCTTTGGGGTTTTTTTTAACTAAAAATGCCAGAAACTGAAATGTAGTCCCTCCAAGACCAGAGGCAACAAAAATCTGTTCAGGGTAAGCATAATGTTAAAAGCCTATTTCTGACATTTCAGTAGGGCTTGTTTGTTTGCTTTCCTCATAGTTCAGAAGTCAGAACAACTGATAATACCATACTCCAACCACAGTTTTAATTTATTTAAATTTTCTTCTTTAGTAATGCATGGGATTAATGTAGCTTTAACACAGATAATAACAGTACGTTTTAAAAAAAGAGAAATAGTGTTCTGTGCCAAGATTGAGCATATGTCCAAAAAAGCAACTGCAAGGCTTGTTTAGAACAGCTTCTCATAGGCTGTAGTACAAATTACAACAAAGCTTTTCAACTTTCGATCTGCAGGTTTCAGTTGGGTCTAAGTAACATGAATAAAAGCAAACCTACTCCTAGAAAATTTACTTAGAAAAGAAAGAATTTCAACTCTTTGAATGTCTTTCCTCCTTAAAAAAAATAATCAGAGGACTGTTGACATCCCCCTCAGCAGCTGGTACTAAACTGCAATGCCAAAAAGCAGTATTATGTTGTTCTAGTCTGTAGATTATCCATTTGAACCTTAATCCTCTTTCTGCAAGTCAGAACTGTGAGACAGATCCATTACTGGTATTAAGCACACAAATGCTTGTGTTGCACAGCAGTTAATGAAGCTTTCAGTAAAACAGACCAAAAAAGAAAAAGGTGCTTTATGACTAAAAAAGTAATAGTAAAGAATCATAGAATCACTAAGGTTGGAAAATACCTCTAAGATCATCAAGTCCAACCATTAACCCAGCACCATCATGTTCTCCACTAGATCACATCCTCAAGTGCCACATAAACCCATCTTTTGAACACTTCCAGGGATGGTGATTCTACCACTTCCCTGGGCAGTCTGTTTCAATAACTGACCAACCTTTCTTCTTTACTGAAGAAATTGTTCCTAACACCTAATTTAAACCTCCCCTGGTGGAACTTGAGGCCATTTCTTCTGGTCCTGTCCCACCTTGCTGCAACCTCCTTTTGGGTACTTGTAGAAAGTGGTAAGGTCCTCTTTGACCTCCTCCAGACTAAACAACTCCAGCTCCCTCAGCCACCCACAGCACTCAAGGTGCTGAGTACACTCATCAGTGCTGAGTACAGGGGGACAATCACTTCCCTGGTTCTGTTGGCCACTATTGCTGATACAGGCCAAGATGCCATTGGCCTTGGCCACCTGGGCACATGCTGGCTCACATCCAGCCAGTTGTTGACCAGCATCCCCAGGTCCTTTTTTCCTGGGCAGCTCTCCAGCCACTCTTCCCCCAGCCTGTCATGCTGCCTGGGGTTGTTGTGACAAGTACAGGACTTGTCACTTTGACTTATTGAACCTCACACTGTTGACCTTGACCCATCCATCCAGCGTGTCCAGATCCCTCTGCCTTCCTGCCCTCCTGCCTCCAGATCAACCCCCCCCCAACTTGGTGTCATCTGCAAACTTAGTAATGGTTTATTTTGATAATGAAGACAGTGGGAATCGATTCAATAAAGGTTTCAATATGAAGATACTAGTTTGAAAGAATAAAAAATTATTTTCCTAGTTTAAAAACTGGCAGTTAATTCAAACAAATTTCCTCCTGAGTGCATTCAGGTTTTTTTATCCACATGGACAGACTTGAGCCTCATAAATCCTTGAATAATTTTATTGCCTGAACTGCTTGTTCATTCTGCTCTCGCAATGATCAGGAAGCATCTTCTTTGTTTCTTTTTGCCCCCAAAAAGGAGCTTAGTTCTATACAATGAGCAAGTCAAAGCTCTCTCATCTTTGATCCAATGAGATGGAGAGTAATTATGATTATTAGAGAAAAAAAGAAATCAGCACAAAGAAGAGGCCTCATATGATAAGAAGATGCAGTTTTGCAACAGTTTTGGACCTTGAATTGCAGTAATTCCTAAAACTAGTACTGAATAGTAGGTTGATACTAATTGGGGTTTTCTTCCTTCCCCTATGAAATTTATTTTTTCTGAGCATATTTTGCCCACAGAAGTTCAGAGTTGACAGAGACTGCCAGGAAATTAAATACCAGTTCTCTAAGCAGTTATCTAACAAGCAAGCAGTGTTATGCATTCTGACTGTTATATGATGTAGTACCTATATTCTAGATTGTTAGCTCTGTTCTTCAGAGCTGAATTGATTTGCTAGAAATTTTTTTTTCTCTTTAGAATTCTTCAGGTTATGCTTCACTGAGAATTATAACCTTGTGCATGCTTAGTATTGCATTTCATGCATAGAATTAGAGAACTAGTTAAAAAAACCCCACCATCTCAGTTCTTAGCTTACTTCCATGTGAATTGCTTAATAACAAAATAGAACAAGAACTGAAAAACTCATAGGCAAACCAGTTCTCAAAGAACACCTAACCATAGGCCAGATCTCCCCTCACTAGTGTTATACTAATAAGGTTAGTTACTACATACATTGTTTCAAATAAAACAGAACAGTAATTACAGCCACAAGGAAATTACCAGCTCTCTCCAGTGCAACTCCCATGATGATAGCTTACAGCTGACTGAAAAGCTGTTTATAAAATTAGATGGGTATTTACATTCTACCAATATCAAATATAAGTACCAGACGAAGAACAATTTCCTTTACTTGAAAACATACCAATTGTATTGATCTTACAGAGTCTGAAAACAAAACAGCTTATATCTGATACTCTACAAGATTACAGCAAAGCAATCATACTCAAAACTGCTTTAATTCAGTACACTGTTTATTCAAAGAAGACTGTGAAAGCAACAAAACAACACACTCTTTTAGCACTATGCTAAATTTCAAATCCCACTGATAAAGTCTGCAGTTGTCTGCAAATACCTTCAACCCCATCTTCTTTCAGAGACAGAACTCTCAGAGTGACTGCCATGATGCAGTACTCTTGTCATAGGATAAAAGTTTCAACAGTCCAAACAACAGACCTTTTCAAACAGGCTACAAGCAAACATGTGAGTTGCTTGACAGAAAAGAGCAAATGCATAAGACAAATTGCTTATGAAATATGTGTCAGTCTATTTGCTCTAAAGGTTGTGAAATTCATTTTGAGGAACAGCTGTAAGGAATCAGTCTCACTCCTCTGGTTGCTATACAGACTAGGTCCCAGAACATGAGCAAGGATTTCAGACACTACCACAGTACTGTTTCTTAATAACGTTAATAACAAAAAAGAGTAAGAAGCAAGGCTTACAGTCTGACTTTCAGGGAAGTCCATCTTCAGTAGTTTGTGAGCACATTCTTCAAAGTCTAAGCTGAATAGAAAAAATGCTTCTCATTATCTGTGCAATATATGCCATGCTAAAAACATTTCAGAGTTATATTAAGATTGATTGTTGGTGCTGAAACTTCAACTATTTGGAAATGAAGTATCTCAGCTGTTTAACTTGCTGGATTTTTATTGTTGTTGTGGGGGGTTTTAATAAACATTTCTATTTTCTGAGTTTGTATCTGAAAATTAATCTAAACTGATTACATTTGCAAACCATTTGAGAACAAGATGACTCAAGTTATTATTATTACATCATCTTACAGAACTACATAAAACATAAAAAAGCAGGAGCTCATTTTGCACATCCTGAAACACTCTGAAATGCAAGCACTGCACATAAGATCTAAAAGCAGTATATACCACACTCTCCTCTTTACACTCCTGTTCTGAAAGCCTTTAGCTACCACCAATACGCCCTCCCACCCAAGTAAAAGATGAACAAACTTCAGTATGGCAAGAAACTATTTAACAGCCACTTTGAGAAACATAAGAGCCTTTCATACCTCTCAGTATGGTATTAATTCACATGTCTAATGATCAACACCACAACTACATTATCACACTCCGCATGCAAGTTCAGAACCTGCAGAGTATTATGAGCCATGCCTACTTTTAATGATGGAATTCAGTGGCATGCAACAGGTCAATGCCCCCTCTCATCCCGATGAGACAGGAGCTATACAACCATGTTTTGATCATTTGTGCCACATACTGCAAGGGGATTTCATTCTCAAGACAACTTCAAACAGTACACTTCAGGGTTGGTATCTATACTTATTTTCCAAGCAATGCATATCTTAATGGGCCTAAGGAGAACCACACTGCAGAACTCCTCTCAGAAGTGGAGAAAATGTACAGCATTTCTAAGTGTGTCCGTGTAACTTTTTTCATAAATTCTTAAAATGCTGTATAATCTAAAGATCACTGACTTTCATTCACTGAGAAAATTCTGATTACAGCAATAGTCACAGAAAAGTCCCAGTTCACTACTCAAAACATTTTGAAACAAACAAGATTTATCTTAGAAAGAGAATTTGGGTATCCATTTGTCAAAACAGTCTGCTTTACACAGTCAGGTCAGGCTCCATAATGAACACTTCCCTACTTTGTTAGGTTTTTTTTTAAAATTTCATATTAAGAACGAATTTTAAAAGAAAGAAAATTAGAGTTCACCCATTTCAAAAGAACTACAGCTATAGGTGTACAAATCATATTCTATTTACCTTGACTGAATAGCAAGATAAATTGTACGACGGAAGGAGACCAGGTTAATTTCTGTTTTGTCGTGAACAGTAACTTTCTGGCCTGGAAAAGAAAAACATGGCTTTGTAAAGAACAAAAGATACATGTAAAGATACATGTAGCAATCTCTTAGCAGAGTTCTATTTATCGTTTACTACATCTGTAGTGTGGTATTTTTCTAGAAATATATAGGGCTGCTTATCATGTTCATGTATTTTTTTAATCTTTATTTTTACAGATAAGGAAAAAATTGTTATTTGCTTCATCTGTAACTAACAGGAATATTTAAATATTGTTTTAACAGGATAATTCTACTTTTAAATTCTTCTTTTAAAGACTTTTCAGTGACTTAATCACTGCAACCTCTGGATATAACATTTCTTGTCCACATTATTAGCAACCTGTTTTCTGCACAATTTAGCTATACAATGCTTTATGTTGCACCCCTGATTTTAACAGGTAATTCTTAGTTTCTATTATGTGTAGGATCTATGTTACATCATTTTGCAAAGTTCTGTTTTGTCCTGCAGTAAGTGTAGAAAAATCCGCTCTGAACCAAACCATTCTGTGAACACTCATTTGTAAGGTATTCACTATTCCTTCAGTCTTTTGAAGTTTGAAGCATAAATGATGAAAAGTTATGTGAATGATCACACTTTTCATCAGCCTGGAAGCTCTGCTCTTCTGTGAAATACCCCGGCAAACTAGTAAGGAAATCCATTACTGTTATTCCACAAGAACAATACTTGACTGGCTTTTCAATTACTCATGCAGTCTGCACAAACATTGTTTGCAAGGCCTTTCTCACAGAAAACTGATACTGTCAAGAATAACAGGGCAAAGTTGCTTTTCTGTTTCTGCCTGTGTTGAATGTTTTAAGACAATTACTTTTATACTGTTTGCTCGTAAACACTTAGATCTGAGAATAAGATGAAAACATCCCTTAACATTTGAACATCTTAGTTTTGCAAAACAGCTAAGAAGGTAAGCTTTCCCATTTCATCTACAATAAATCACTAGTAAGGTGCCAGTTATACACTTACCATCTTCACCCTCCTCTTCATCTTCATCTTCATCTTCCTCACTACTTCCAGCTTCTTGATCTCCTTCAGATTCACTGTCACCTTCATCAAGAATTTCTGAAAGAAGAGTATCCCATATTATTAAGGAATATAGACCATAATATTTTCATTACAAAAAAATCCCTGATCCAACACCTAAAAGAGGGAAAGGATCTCTCAGGTGGAGAACGTGGCACAAGCAAAAAAAAAATAGGTATGTCATAATTAAAGGAAAACACCACTGGAGAAACAATACTGAATAGCAGGAACACAATGATGAACTGAATGACAGTTGTCTAGGACAGAAATATCCCCCACTGTTAAATAATAAGGCTGGCAACAACAGTGGGATAAGTAAATGCCATAGATAAGTAAGTACATAAATATCACATATAAAATGTGAAATATACACACAAATATCCCTACCTTTCTTCAGTGTCTTGTATTTCTCCTCATTTTCCATAAAGTTTGGATCCATCTTGAAAACATCTTTAGAACAAAAGAGAATCTTTATTTAAAATACAAATTGAAGAAAGCAATGAACTTTTAATCTTGATTTTGTTTTCTCAGGGAATGCAGTCACAGAATTATCTTCCATTTCTAACTTACTAAGAACATCCTCTGGGTTGTAGTCATCTTCTAATGGCAACATATGAGTAAACTGATCCTCCTCTTCAACTAGATCTAATCCCTCTGGAATAATTGGATGATCCTTGAAGCCATCCTTCCGTACAGCAAACATGACTTCTATCATATACTGAACACGCATATCAATTTTAGATTCATGCAGAATGTGTCGAAGACGGTCAAAGATTGCTTTGGAAAAGAAAGAAATGTAAATATGAAAAGGATTTACTAAATACAAATGACAAAAGGACATGTTTTGGCTAACTATACTTACCATTGATACCTCTAGGAGAAACTTCTGTTAATTTGAGCCCACTCTCTTTAATAAATCCAATTGCTACTTCAATACTGTCATCAGTAGGCCTTTCAAGAAGCAAGGTGAGCATTTCCAAACATAAAACCTCATGAGCCTACGAAAGGAATATCAGCAAATAATTAGAATGCACAATGTTACACTATCATCACGGTGATTTACTTGACAGATCTGTACAGCCTTTGAGGATGTCACAACACACTAATCACACACACAAGGCAACAGCAGCGGGACAAAGCTGCTTAAGAGGAAGTCCAAATTTCAAATAGTTTTACCACCTCTATTTACACCAACTTCATAGTAAATGTGACTCTGCTATTGAACAAGCAAGCAATGAAAAACATTTTGCCATTAAGAAAATAATAGAATGCATTTCCAAGAAGCAAATAAACCAGCACTTGCATTATGGAAACTAGTTCCAAGTGCATTCTGTCTATAAATAAATCAGTTCTTCCAGGATTAGGCATATAAGCAAATGGTACATCTTGGATTAGCTTCCTCTTTACCAAAATGCTATACATTCCCAAAGTATTCCTGAAACACTGCTTCTTGCCATTATTTAAAATGGAGTATCCTGATTTATCACACATAAACAAAGTGCATAGAGCTGGACATAAATTTGGTTTAGATGTAACCGAGTCCAGTTCTGCTTACACAAATTGTTGCAAGAAAATTCTGTTTAAGATCTGTGGGATAGAGCCTCAGACGATCCTTGCTTTGCATCAAGACTTGTCTGAATAGTAGCCCAAACGCATATATGAAATCTAGGGAAGCTGTGGAGCGTAAGTGTAATGATAAGTGATGATAACTGCACAAACAATGACCAATGTCTTTTCTAAAGAGGTCCTAATAACTTAAGGTAGGCACCACACTCAGGTTTTCAGGAACCGTTAGAGCAGGGATTGCATCTTCACTTAGGCTATTGCTGCCTTAAAATTAAAAATTAGCCATATATGGTTTGGATTGAATAGAAACATAAAGCAACATACCACATTCTGATTCATCAAATGTGCGACAAACTTTGAAGATGTTAGACAGAGTTGCTGCAAAAGAAATAAACCAGGAAATTTTAACATACAGAAAAAAAGACTTAACTCAGACACACTATAGATTTGTGCATCTCACAATAAAATTAAGTCATGAGTTGTTTGCAATCAGGAGTGTAGGCTTTCAAAAAGAAAAAAACCCAAAAAACTAGCACAGTATCAACCCAGAATAGGTTGTCAAAGTTTCAAGGTACTCTAATACTACTAAACGTACTAAAGACTGGTCTCAACTGGTCTTAGTTGTGTTCCTTTCAAGTACATAATTTGACCACACTTGACAGACAGTTAACACAGCAGAAGGACAAGTTTCAGCATGTTGCTTCTTCATGTTTTACATACCTTGTCATTTCTGCGATATCCTTTGCGAAAATTCAGTATCAACCTCTTCAGAATCAATTCACCAATATTTGGAAACTTTGAATTGATAATTGCCACAAGAGCTGCGTAAACATGAGTAAATATCGGAGAGGCACTCTGAGCTTGCAAAATGGATCTAGACAGCAATCCCCTGTAAAAATAGGTAAGTTTTAAGATTTTTCTGGTAATAAGACATGTAGTTTTTTTATTGAAATGGTGTTCAGCCAAAGTAAAGAATAACAAGTACCTATCACATAAAATAGTATTGTGCAGTTGGAATAGTTGGAAGATACCAAATGGTCATTTTCAAAATGTTGTTTATCATGGCATAAATGCAGTTTGGCAAAACATGTTGTCCAAATCTGCCTGAACTCAAAAATTCTTAAAATGGTACCTTATCTTCCATTAAATATTGTTTACTTAGAAATACATTTGAAAATGCTAAGCATGCAAACAGCCATCCTGTATCCTGCAACTTAGGCTGATTATAAAAGACTACTATTTAGAGTCTAAATAAATGTAAACACAGGGCTCATGAGAATAGTTCTTTTATTACTCTAATGATCTCTCTTACATTTATTATCAAGACTGAAGTCTGAAAAGAATCTGCGACTTATTTTTCCTCCCCCTCTCAATTTTGCTTTTTGTAATGCTTAGGAGCACACACAGTTTGACTTTTGCTGTATTACTCCATTACAAATAGGTGAGGGGGGGGTAAAGAGCCCTCCAAATGTGAATGTTCAAAGTACACACTGGAATCCAGCTATCTTATCTTCTCTGTGGCCTACTGAAATCCTCATAAAAACCTCCTACATGGTACTAAATACGAACAGCCTAGGGACCTCATTCCTACTTACTTTGGAATTGACAAAGGGAATAGGACTTATACTAGTGCACAGAAGCAGAATATTTCCACTTTGAAACAGTAGTTACTGGTCTGTTTCAGTTCTTATTTATCCTCAACTTAAAAACTCAGAAAACTACTTGACAGCTAGGCAAAACTTCATGTCATTACTTTTATATGCACCTTTGTGCAAATCTGGAAGTCAGACTTCAGTGTAAGACGGAGGAAGTGCTGCCGTTTCCCATCTACGTTACTTTGACATTTATGAACCACACACAAAAACTTCCACAGATAAGTATATTCTACAAACATTCAATAAGCTTATTTCTAAATGAAAATACTATTGCTTGTATGAAAATTATGTTTTGGGGACATGAAATGTGGGCAAGTAAAAAGCAGTCCTACAAATCCCTGAGATTCATTATTATTTTTAAAAGGAATGACATTCAGGAACTACTTGTTCACTCTCTAGATTTTACTTAATTCTTGTGTTGGTAGTTTGGTTTTGTTTGTTTAAATGGTAGCCAACCTAAGAAACCCATGCTCCTTTAGATTTGCAGATTTAACCCCCAATGACATCAAAATTAATGCAAGGAAAGTCATCACACAATAGTTGCATGATCACCATGACCTAGTATTGAGCTCAGGTAGCATAATCATCTTTTCTCTACATTACAACAATAAACAACATAGGCAGGTAACTGTAGTAAAAGTTGTATTGCTAAATACTGACAACAAATATTATTTGTCCCAGAGAAAAAAAAATCCAGCACTAAAAAAATAAACAGCCAGTAACAATCATAAATTACAAGCCAAGTAAAATACACAGGGAAAACCTTTAAGAAAAGGTTGCACTGTTTTATTTCACCAAGCATTCAATCCCTTTCCCAAGTAAGGGACTATTCTGCATAGGACAATATAGCCTAAGGGTAATTTTAAAATCTGAGCAGACCCCATACACTACACATAGCACACACCGTGAGGTACCCATAAACAGTACACACAGTACCAGAAAAGCAAAAGAAATATTTTAAAATACAAAGACTTACCTTCCCCTAACAATATTTTCCTGAAGCAGCTCATGAATGATGTTTTCTATATTAGAAACGTTCACTTTATTGACAAGACCATTGATTGACTTCTTCAAGGCTTCCCAACTCATCCTCTGATATGCCAAGCTATTACAAAGGCATCACAAATTATTAAAGCATAAATTTTAAGTAGCACTGAGTAAATTTTTATATACATATACATATATAAAACTTACATTCACATTTTCATTTAATCAGTAAAACAGGTAAGAAATATTCACTGCATAAATGTGAAGATTAGTTCACACCTATACATTTAACTACTAGAAAATCACTGATATACCAAAATGTAATACCAACTCAGTATGTTCAGCTTTCTATGCTGTTCCAAAAAATCCCTAGCTACATTCTGTATCCCACTTTTCCATTTACATTTTGCAGCAGAAGTAAGTACAGTTTTAATGTGATTATCTCATCTCTCTTCTGACAAAAATATATCTTCAAAACAATGATCACAGCCCTCTAAATGGATCCCATTTTCCCAACATTCTCTAAAACCCTTAAATGTTTTGCTTTCAGCAAAAAAACTAATATGTCACTTCCAACTCACCTATTTTTATCAGTGATTTGCTCTTGCATCATCCTGAGCTTGGCAGGTGGAATATATGCACCACCTGTGCGAGTAAGGATTGGATCCACTTCTTCTTTTTTCTTCTTTGAAGTGGCATCATCCTGAGCAAGTGAGCTCTGAACTGTCGACCTCTCTGGACTCCTACGATCGGGTGATGAATATCTCCTCTGCTTCCTCCGATCATATTCTCTCTCCTCCCATCTGTCATAGTGTCTATCTCTCCCCCTTTCCATTCTTCTAAAAAGAAAAAAAAACACCCACCAAACACCCAAGGGTTCGTGAAAAGTTTTCACATTTTATTCTTTAAAATAAGTATTTTATTACCGATTAAGAAAGGGTTTGATACCTTCCATCTGAATTTCTGTCATCATAGTATTCCCTTCTTGAATATTCCTGATCATATCTGCTGTCATCAGAGTGTCTTCTCTTTCTGGGAGACGGAGACCCATCATGCTCCATATCCCTGCTCGCAACCCAAGACACAAAAATTCTTAGTAAAAGGCTGAGAAAAGTAATGGTATTAATATAATATCTACTTACAATACAATGTTACAATGCACAACTGTTCCAATTCTGCAACCTGAGTTTCAAGATACGCACCATTCAAATAAAACAGTCCACTTTTACAATACTTTCTTGTCAGGAAAAAATTATCATAAATCAAAGCTCTGTAAAAGGAAGCTCCTCCCAGAATTTAAAATTAAATATTAAACATTAATAACATTAAATACCAAAGGTAAATTCAGCACCATGGACACTTTTGCTTGTGCAGCACAAAAGTCTTGCTCTAAAATGACAATTGTGGTATCAGCAACATGTGAGTTCAAGCAAAAAGCCAGCATCTAATTTCCATTTTCAAGTCCCATGACAATTTAACTAAATGCTAAGGATTTTTAAAGATTTAGTTCTAGTAATAAATCTATTTAATTACTGTTATATTGACATGTAAATATTTTATTAAACCTACACTTACTTTTCACCGCTCAGTTACGGTAATACAAAAAAAGAAACACAACCTGATGATTTTTTTAACTTCTCTAAATCACTATTTGAGGTATATATATATATATATATATATACATATATAGAACTGAAAGGTATAAAACTCACTGTACCTGTCCTCTGGAGACAAACTTCCTTGTCGGGAACTGTAGTTTTCCTTCCTTTCATGGCTGGAACCATGCTTTAAGAAAACAAAGAAAAAAAAAAATCAAGCCCCAGTATGACTGTGAGCACATACTTTCAGAACAAAGCATACCACATCTTCAGTTCCCTACTCCTTTACAAGAAGGGCCATCAGATAAAGCTAAAGGCAGTCAGTTATGATGAGAGGAGCTGGTTCTCTTAGTAACACGTAATTAAGTACTGGACTCTCTGCTACAGGATGCTGCAGATGCCAAATGTTTATATGGGTTCAAGACACTGGATAAACACTGGAAAAATCCACATAGGTTACCAAAAAAATTTATCTGGCTCAGGAAGCTGCAAACAGGTAGAGTGGGAGTGTATGTGGGCAAGTACTTTTATAGTTGCCCTGTTTCTAAATTTTTCAAGGCATCTGCTGTCAATTACTGCTGGGGGTTAGAGTATACAGACCACTTCCCTGCTTCCTCCTTCCAAATGCCATTTTACTCTGTTGCATCACATGCAAAACCACCAACAAAATTCTACCACTTCTTGTTTGAAAAGTGTCTTTCCTCTCTCCTAAAAACCCCCTTTATTGAGTAATTTCTCCCTATCTTCTTGTTTTTTATTAACCATGATTTATTTTCTCATGAGTCATTCCCAGCTTCATACATAAACACCTAAGTGACACTGTTCTATCTGGCAGATTTGTGAGATTGTTTAAGTCATACACACTTAAACAGTTCACACCAAATTCCATGGGCTGAATATGACATGGAAATATGGAGTCATACTCAAAAATCAGAGTACGACAGCATCTACAACATACACAAGACATTTCTCAAGCTGTTTTAAAACTACTCTGGCAGAGTTAAGAAGCAGCTTTTGTAATCTCAGTACTTTTATTCCAAAGGTCCCCTCTTCACTCAGAACATTATTTATCATTTTTCAAAACCATGTTGTCAGACAGTGATTAACTGTGAAATAGGTAACATCTTACCTGATGCAGAAAGTCAACAAAAAGGCTTGCTTGTGCACCTTGACTGAACTTCCTGCAGGAATTCTCACCTCATTTATTGAAGTGGCACCCTCTCCACCAACATGCTGGCACACTAGTTTTTGACCCACCAGAGAACCAGTTAAAACTACTGGTTACTAGAATACAATGAGACCTCCTCCATAAACCAGGTAGTGGAGGTCACCACAGACCAGGGTGGACTGTTATACCACTGATCTCCAAAACTTAACTGGGGAGTGTGTGTATATATGCAAATAAATAATTGCATTTTTGAGGTCACTATAACTTAGAGAATATTGCCTTTCTGAGGGTACATTTCTAACACTGTATTAAAATTATACCCAGTATTATCTTGCCTGCATGAAGACAATGATACAAACCCAATGCATTGCATTATTGGGAGCAGGCATCCCTATAAAAGTAAGTCCGTCTAACAACTTAATTTTAGGGCAACGTTACCTTTGATGGCAAAGCTAGTACAAGAAATTCACAAGGTTTTCTTCCCTTTTCAATAGTCATTTGTGGGATTATACCATAGAGCAGATGACTGAATTCAAGGTTAAGAAAAGCCTTTCAATTGTTTTTTTTATTCTGCCCAATAATATAATGCAAGTCTATATCTTAAGCTTCCAAGGAAGTGGTAATAAAAATCTTCGAAAAACATGGAACATTTACTGTATTTAAATCCTATTTAGCAGATAGGAAGGAAGCAGTGGGTCTTTTTAGGATGATCCATTCTCATGGGGTCTACATCATCTGTCTTTGCCCAAGCAGAATCAAAAACACAAGTGTTCGCAGAAGTAAAACAATGTAATGTCTGTCTCTGTATTTGGCCTTAACACATCTCCTTGCAAAAGCACCTCTTTGTAGAAGAACTTTTTCCCCTCAGCTCTTCATGACCAGCCTTTCTGCCACAAGTTAGCCTTCTTGTCCATTTTGATCACAATGATTAACTAAAAGTGTCCAAACAGTCCAAAACTCTTGCTAACTGGTTTATTTTAACAGATGAGGAAGCACTACCACAACCACCAAACTGGGAAAATAGTAGAAGCATCCCTATTAAAAGTCACTTCAGTCAGAAAAGTTGGATCCAAAAGGAAGACTATGCAGGGTCAAACTTTAGAACACAGGTAGAGAAATACCACAGATCTGAAGCAGTGTATCAGAACAGCATTGCTCTGCTAACCTGTCCCAAATGTAGTGTACTGTAAAAACACAGCATTTCTAAATGATAATTTTAAAAAATTAACTTTACATTTTTTCTTCTTGCATTCCTAAAAAAATCACTCCCATCCATTCAGAGATGGACCACACAGCTTTTAAAATGAAAAGCTTCAACATTCACAGTATGACAGAAAGTTGCCAAATTAACTGCTACTTACTGTCACTTTATCTTTTCATTTTAAGGTCACTGTTACTCTTTCTCCATTCCTCCACATGCCTATGTTCTCTGTTGAGCCACCATCATTCAGTCAGTTTTGACGAACTACTTTATCATTGTATCCCAATAATATTCAGGACTTTCAGTGTTAGGACAACAGGTGCTAGAAGCAGCTGTAATTTACTGACTCTTACAGTAGCTGTTACTACGTATTAGTAGTCATCATGGCTAGGCTTCACGAACGAAGATTTGGGAAGGTTCTATCCGCATTTGCTACAGGCACGCTGGTGGCTTATGAGGCCAATACGTGACAGACATATCCGATTGCAAAA